CGAGATATAGCAATTGTTAATCACCACCCTGGCAGCAATCGTGAGGAATAAAGCTTTCCACTTAATCAGCTCCACAATGATCTTTTCAAAAGCCCGCTTCCAGTTCTGTTCGCAGCTGCCTGAGGGGGTGACCCAGACTCCCAGAACTCGTTTCGCTTCCTCCGGATGAGCCCATTTGAAACCGCCGAGTGTGCCCGGCCTCCGCCCTAGATTCTGCCCAATCGGCAGTATGACCGATTTATCTCTGTTTGTCTACAGCCCCGAGAGCCCCGCGAAATATTCCAGAAGCTTTTCAGCTCTGGCAATTTACCTCTTCCCCTCCAAGAAAAGCGTTGTATTGTCAGCGTAACCGACGTACACTGATCTCTGATTGGCCTTATTGCAGAGACCAAGATTCCGTCGTGCAGCCTCCTGAGCTAACGGCTCCACGGCACAAAGGAAGAGGTAAGGAGCAAACGGGCATCCTTGTCTCACTCCTGAGTTGATAGCAACAGCTTCCCCCAGCCAGCCGTTAACCAAAAGCCGCGTCTTTGTGTCTTTGTGCAGGCCCTCCACCCAGGTGACAAATCTGACTGGGAAGCCCATTTCCTTAAGGGTCGCGAACAAGAAGCTTCTCGAAACCAATCGAAAGCTTTTCGGAAGTCAACCAGCAGCACATACCAGTCATCATTCCCCTTTTTGGCTGCCTCTATGACATCTGCTACCACTCCAATGGCATCCGAGATTCTCCTACCGGGGATGAACCCATACTGCTCCGCTGAGATCACTTTGTGCAGAAACGGCTTCATCCGGTTCGCCACTACCCGCGCCAAGACCTTGTAAGAGAAGTTGAGAAGCGAGATTGGTCGATAGTTGTCTAAGTTATCCTTGTCCCCCTTTTTATGGAGCTGAATAGTAACAGCTTCTTTGATGCTTGCAGGGATCGACGCCGTCGCGGAGAAGGACTGCGCCATACGAAGGAACTCCCCCCCCAAGACATCCCAGTTATTTTTGAACAGCTCCTTCGGAAGCCCATCCTTCCCGGGCGATTTCCAACTCGCCACGTCTTAAAAGGCCTGCTGCACCTCCGCCTCCGACCAGTCGGCCTCTAGTGCGCCTGCTGCCAAGGCATCCAGCTTTTTGCCGGGAATAGGCTTCCACCGTTCCGATGACGTCCGGACATCGACACCAAAGAGATCAGTGAAGTACTTTGTCGCCGCTTTCAGCGGCGCTGGTGCTGCCGCTGGGGGTGCTGGTGCTGTCCCTGCTGGTTCTCGAGGCACTGCGCGGCCGCGGCCGTACTTCGTTCTGCTCCTTGAGCAGGTTCTTGGTCTCCCGCCTTCTACTGGCCCTGCTCCTCCCTTAGAGTGTCCGCAGCCTGTCCAGTCGCAGTCACAGTTACAGCCCACCTCCCCCCTACTTGCTCCTTCTCCCTACACTGGTCCTACTGGAGGTCTTGCTGAGCGTCGTAAGCCTGCGTCTCGTCCTGCGTCCCTGCTCGTGCTGCTCGCACTAGTGGTCGTGCTCCGCGTCCGCGTCCTCCTGCGGTCCCAGGCACACACCAGATGGCACTGCGTCCTTCCACTGCTCCTCTGCGTGTCCCGTTGCCGTCTCCTCCAGAGTCCTCTCTTCCTGTTCTTGCTGGCCCGGAGTCTGACTCCCTTCGTGCTGCCAGTCCTACTGTCACGCGTCTACTGGCTACTGTTGTCACTGACCCTTCCTTTGAGTCCATTGCTGCGTCTGCCTTAGTTGCTGAGCTTGTCGACTTTGCCGCTCGCTGTCGTCTAGACTACGCCGCTAGTCTCGTTGCTAAGTTTGAGTCTATCTGTCCTCCGTCCGTCAGGGGTGAGTGTGCTCTCAGCACGGACGTCCTTGAGGACAGGCAGGAGGAGTTCTAGTGTCCATGCTGATTGCCCGTGAGGGAGACCCGGATGCACCAGACATCCCAACTCCTCGATCGTACGCTGAGGCGATCGAGGGTCCCTACTCCTCACAGTGGCACTCAGCCATGGACGCAGAGATGGCTTCCTGGAAGTCCACAAGCACCTAAGTCGACGAGGTTCCCCCACCTGGGGCGAACATCGTCAGTGGCATGTGGATTTTCAGGGTGAAGCGGCCTCCGGGTTCTCCGCCTGTCTTCAAGGCGCGTTACGTGGCTCGAGGCTTCAGTCAGCGGCAGGGAGTTGACTACTTTCAGACCTTCTCTCCCACCCCAAAGATGACCACTCTTTGGGTGCTACTACACATAGCAGCTCAGCGCGACTACGAGCTCCACTCTCTTGACTTTAGCACAGCTCTCCAGCAGGGCAGCTTGCACGAGGAGATCTGGCTGCGCCGCCCACCTGGCTTCACTGGGTCGTTTTCTCCTGGTACCCAATGGAGCCTCCGGCGGCCAGTCTACGGTCTCCGCCAGGCGCCCCATGAGTGGCACGACACACTGAGGACTACACTTGCGGCTCTTGGGTTTGCTCCTTCTACAGCCGACCCGTCGCTGTTTCTGCGCACCGACACCTCTTTGCCGCCGTTCTACATCCTCGTGTACGTCGACGACTTGGTCTTTGCCACTGCTGACACTGCTGGACTCGCCCATGTGAAGTCCGAGCTGCAGAAGAGACATACGTGCACAGACCTGGGTGAACTGCGCAGCTACCTTGGCTTGCAGATCACCCGGGACAGAGCACAGCGCACCATTACCCTGACTCAGTCACACATGGTGCAGCAGATCCTTCAGCGCTTCGATTTCACGTACTCCTCGCCTCAGGCCACTCCTCTGTCTACTCGCCACTCGCTCTCAGCTCTGCCTTCGGATGAGTCCGTAGAGCCGAGTGGCCCGTACCCAGAGCTTGTTGGCTGCCTCATGTACCTGATGACCTGCACTCGACCTGACCTTGCATACCCTCTTAGCATCTTGGCACGCTATGTTGGTCCCGGGAGACACCGACCAGAGCACATGGCTGCAGCGAAGAGGGTGTTGCGCTACTTGTGCAGTACGTCGGGCATGGGGCTAGTGCTTGGAGGGCGACGTCGAGTGGTCCTCACAAGTCACGCCGACGCTTCTTGGGCTGACGACCAGGCTACGCAGCGGTCGTCACAGGGTTACACCTTCAGCCTTGGCTCCGGCTCTGTTTCGTGGCGGTCTACCCGCTCGTCTGCTGTTCTCGGCTCCAGTTGTGAGGCAGATAACTACGCGGGGGCCATGGCTGCACAGGAGCTACGCTTGCTCACCTACCTGCTGACTGACCTAGGAGAGCAGCCTCGTTCTCCTCCAGTTCTGTACATAGACAACAAGGCCATGGTGGTCTTGTGTCGGGAGCATAGACTGGAGCACAGAACGAAGCACACTGCTCTTCGCTACTTCCTTGCTCGTGAGCTGCAGCAGCGTGGTCAGCTGCGCCTTGCTTACGTGGCCTCTGAGGCCAACACTGCTGATATCTTTACCAAGGCACTTCCGCCTGGTGATCATCAGCGCTTCTGTACGATGCTAGGTCTTGTGCCTACTTGGCCTCACTTGCTCACTTCTTGACCGCCTGTACTGTGATCTTTCTATACCTTCACTTGCTTGTTTACCTTTATATATGATCTTGCATGTGAACTGGCCTTGTGGCCTTGCTCTTGTGCTCGGATTGTGTGGTGACGTTGTGATCCACCTTGAGCATGCTTTGCTTTGCTTGACTGGTCTTGTGACCTCTTGTTCTCCCCCACTTTGCCTATGGGGGTGTGTCAAACTCATATCATATAGCTTGTCTAAGCGATAGTGGGGTAGACACTATGGGGTACAGCTTCCTAGGGTTTCCTACTTGTACCCAACCTTGTGCTAGTTCATTCATTCCTCATTCTTCACATGTAGCATGTCCCATTTTGATGCATGATCTTCCCTCAACTGCGCATCCCTAACCATCAGCAGATCCCTCGTCTTCTGACAGCCCGGGTTCCGCATCTGCTCCTTGTGCAGTTGCGCCACTTCCTCAGCCAGGTGTAGCGTGGTTTTTTTTATCCTCTTACTCTCCTCCTTCATGTACGTCCGTAGCCCGGCATTCAGCCTACCCAGCAGCAGCTCAAAGTCCCCTGCACCTTTTTCCGCAACCTTGGCGAGAGCTGCTTCCACAGCCTTCCGGACACCCGGCCTACCTATCGCCGCTGCGTGCAGTCTCCAGATTCAGGGGCCCAGGTGAGTCGATGCTTTTATCTTAAAGGCGACCTTAATCCCAAATCCGTGATCCGAAATTTATTCCTCCGGTCTTATGTGAACAGCAACTTCTAAATGCGGCAGAAGCGAGTAGGATACAAGCGCGCGGTCTATGCGAGAGCTGGACTGCTTGGAAGCGGCGTAGAAGGTATACTCACGAAGCTTGGGGTCCAGAGTGCGGAAAGCGTTTGATGGCTGGAAGTGGCTGCAGCAAGAGATAAGTCGGTCGTTTTCAAGCGAGGTGCCAGAGAGAGAAGTTATGTCTAACACAGTGTCTTCTACAATGTTCAGGTCTCTGATTAAAACTACATGCGCGGTGGACGGGATCTGGTCGAATGCGGGGCCAATAACATTGGCGATGAAGGGAGTTTTGCCGGTTGCGTCAGCGGGGAAGTAGGCGGCTACAAGCGTGAGAGAGAAGCCAGAGTGGCAGGCGGTGGCTACTATTAGTCTACCAGAGTGGTGAGTTGTTATGCCGTGAAGAGAGATCGAGGGATCCCTAGTAAGGACTACGACACCCCCAGCTTTGTCAGTGGGAGGGGTGGTTAAAATGTTGAAAGAAGGTGATTTCCAGTAAGAGTAGTCATCAGGAAGGCGAGTGTCAGAAAGAATGAGAATGTCTGCGGCTGTGCGGGTCCATGCTGTTACTCTTTCTTGCTTTGTTCTGTCACCCAGGCCGTTGACGTTCAGGCCTGCTAAGGAGAGGAAGTTTTTGTTACTCATTTGATCACTGCCTGGCAGCCCTTATTCATCCACAGGCTGAAGATGGTGACAACACTAACAACAGCACTCCATCCGACAATGGCAAACCGCACACGGTTCTCGTTCTGCAGGTTCAGGCACCGTACTCCTTCTTCAGGTTGGCAAGGTTTGCCTTGTCCAGCGAGACCTTTGTGGCAGTACCCAGCTTCTCCGGGTTCAGCAGGTGGGTTGTAGAGACAATGTGATCCGCAACAGCCATGAGGGTCTTCCCTTTCGCCTTTCCGCAGCACACTTGCGTGCAAATCCACTCTTCGCGGTTGCTGCCGGTTGAGGTAAGAGCAATTGCAGGGTCTTTCAGGATGGGGGTAACGAGAACGGAGGTTCTCAGAGAGGCAGCTGCGACCGCATGGAAAAGCGTCAGTGTAAGTTGAGAAAGAAAAGGAAGAGGTTGTGTCAGTGACGCGAGCGATGCAGTTACCATTAATGCGGTGAGCCTTTCCCAAGGTAAGGTTCCACTTCCCTATATTGTTCTACCGCTCTGTGACGAACAGATCATGATGAACATCATAATGCTGTCCTCCGCAGAGCAGGCAGGACAGTACAGGGTAGTGGACCAACAACTTCGCGCCAACCTCCATCGGATTGTCAACGATGTGACGCCAGCGGTACCGGTCCCCAGGGTGTTGAACCACCAAGCCCTTAATCACGTCCGTATCAGCGCCGGTAAGAGGATGAGCCATACGATGGAAGGCGAAACCTTCCTTGAAGGCAGTCTGCTTGCGCAGCTTCATCTTGAAACGAACGAGCGGATCCTTCAACACGTCCGAGACAATGTTAGCGGGAACATGACGAAACAGCACTTCGACAGCAAAAGGGTTAGTGGCCTTCTCCTTCAGGTAAGAGGCATTCTCCGTGTGCTGCGAAATGAACTTGATCGCTGGAGCGTTCGCCTTCTGGTATTCGAAGACATGAAACTTGATGTGATGAGCGTCCCGCTCATCCAGAAAGGAGATCTGCAGCCGACAGAAACGCGTTTTCGCCACGTACTGTAACCGGGTGTCATCTCTTGAATGTTGGCCGTGACCCCAGCGTTCTCAGTAAGTGACGAACTCCAAACTTTCGTCATCAGAAGACGAACTGCAGCAATGATGGCTTTAATCTCCTGTGACAACACCATCGGAATGAGTAAGTTCGCGGTAAAACGAAGGCGAAAAGCCTCCTCCTTAGCAATGTCAATTTCCAAATCCTCATCCAAGTCATCCTCCAGGAACTCTTCCACAGAAGCGACAGAAACTTGATTCGTCTGACTCTTCTCTTCCACAGTCAGACCGGAGCTTCCAGGAACAGCATCTGCAGCAGTTGTCATGGCCGGAGTGGTGACAGCGATCTTGTCCGAGAGCGTGCTAACCGCGTTTGATGAAGCCTTCTCTCCAGTTTCCCCATCAGCAGGTGCATTCGTGACAATAGGCTCCGTCGACAGATCGTCAGGCAGTGTGACATCCACAGTGGCCTTCGTCGAGCGTCCCTTAGGAGGCATGGTGCGATGATGAATCAGAAACAGCAGCCGTTGAGACACTGACTGAGAATGATGCGACCGGAAAGGTTGCAAAGCTGATGCTGCCTGTAAGCTGAGCACCACCTTTATAACATCCTTAGTGTGTCCTGGACTTGCGTTCTTGAACAAAATGATGAGATCTCGATGTTGTGGCCTTGTGATCATGGCGAGAACGTTGATCAATCTGATAATGAAACCACCTTCTGAGTGTAGCGAGCCGAAGCTGCCGTGTAGAGTCATGATAGCCAATGCCAAAACTGATGAAATCAAGAGTCCTTGGTAACAGGTTAGCTCAAAATGTGCTAGCAACCTTGAGATACTCCCGTGTTGCTGAGGATATAATGTCCGCTTGATAGACACAAAAGTTATATCCTCGGCTTCGTAATGAACAGGGGATGTCAGAACTAATCTCAAAGTTACGAACTGATAAGTAACCTTCAGGAAATAGGCTCTGGAGTAACAGCGGAGAAATCCATGGCGGCCTTGTCATTGTCAAGGCTCTTCAAGATGGCTCTTCAGCGGGCAGACAGTTGTTAAAGAGTATAGAGTTCTCCCGAAGCCACATGACATAGCGCCTCTCGCGTGTGTCTTGCTTGGGGGGCCACGATTCCACCTTGTACAGCCTCGTTCCGCCCATGCGACGAAGATCCGCCATCCGCTCAATGAGATTCTGAACGGTCAGCTTGGCGAATGCCTTGCACATCTTCTCGCAGTCGCGCATGGTTCCACCAAACTTGTGGCTAGCGATGGGCGCCTCGCTTAGAACAATCTCATGGCTCACTACGCGGCTGCTGGAGTCCACGCCCTCCACTTTCAGCTCACGTTTGCCATCCTTGTGGCGCTCAAGGAAAGGTGACAACTATGGGCTCAGGCCCTCCCCAAACTTCTTCTCGTAGTCGATGCAGCGGTGTTGAATATACGACACCGTGCAGTCCACCTCCTGCGTCACGATGGTCACGTCCACCTGGGCGGAGGGCGGGAGGGTTTGAGTACAGCCAGACATAATCACTTTATATTACAGAGTAAACAAACTTGCAAACTGCTGGGCAAAAGAGGAAAACAGCGACTCGATAATACAGCATAACATTACCTTTCGCCTCTGGAAAAACCGGTTCAGATTGTTGAGCTCGGCCAAGATGTCTGCTAGAAAATAAATGCAAAAGTGAAAATTCAAGGTCTGCACAATGCTGGCTATCGTGTGCCCGTACTCGAAGACGCAGATTGCCACCCCAAGAACCCGGCACATCCGCAGCATTGCCTCGCCCCGTGACAGCCAGCATACGTTGTGGAGACCCTGGTGCTCTAGATTGGTCTTGTGATACACCAGCTGCAACTCCTCGAACCGCTCGTACCAGGGAGTTGACTTTCCGACGATCGCACCAAGGGCCCTGATGGCATCGTCCACAATGTTGAAGTCTGGATAGGCCTCAGCAGAATCCTTGACCGCTAACGCTTCTCTGCACGGTAAGTATTAGGGGGATGCAAAATATGAAATGTAAACCACAAACAAAAAATCACATAGGCCCAGAAAGATGATTAACTGTCTTTGATTACCATAAAACATTACGGATAATAACTCACCTGTGCGCGATGCAGTGGCACCCGACGAGATGCGGAATCTGCATGCGAAGGCGCGTCACAAGCCCAGTTTCCAATTCGACCATGACAAAGGCGCCGTCTGTTGACATCCCAACAATTTTCTAAAGGTCGATGCCAATGGCAGAATGGCATGCAGGGAGGCCGTGTCACACTGAGTGACGGTAAGGAGCGTCAAGAACTCCGTTACCACCATGCGGTCCTTCAGGAAAGTGACAAACACAATCATGTGTTTGCCACGAGCGCGGTCTGTGCTTTCGTCGCACATGATGCCAATGTATGGCGACGGTGCACGTGTCGCATTTGCTCACGGTGCAAGAAAGTGGTTAAAGCCTTCACCATTTCCGAGAAGCCGTACCTGGCCACAACCAAAGGTTCGTTGTTAGTGCATATTGAAAAAATGAAGTAACAAGGAGTACGGGGCTCAACATCAAGTGGGACTCACTATGTGATGTACACGACGTAAGACTGTCGCGGTATGTCGGCGACGCCCTCCTCAGCAAGAAACTACACGAGCCTGGGGTACATCTAAATTGGCGTGTCCGTCTTGCACACAAACACGATGCTCCACATTAGCCGCGAAATCCGCGCGCCCTCCGGATCGCCCTTCGCGAAGTCGTCGATGTGTTTCTGCTCCTCGATGGTCTTCATCAGCCCCATTTGCTTCTTCATAGCATCCTCGTGCTTCACGCTCTCCTCGTGCCAGCAAAAGGACCCAATCTGGAGGTCCCGACCTCTTTTCCCATTGCGGCCGTAGCGAGCATCGTCCTTCCTGTGCTCTATACAGACACTGCAACGAACACAAGGAAAACAGTCAATCGATATATCAAGGATTAACCATGGGAACCGCGGAAGCCATTCCCTCGTGTAGCTCTTCTGGGCCTACAACTTCTCCTTCTTCTCCTGTGCGGTGAGTCTGACTACAAGTGGTGTATTTTTGGCAGGTGGCGGCGGAGTCGGTGCAGGCTTAACATGCTGCAGTCCAACCCCGAGCACGGACTGCGTGAAGCGCCGCTTCTTCGACATCTGTGAGGCAGTCGAGTCTGGCACAGACACATCCACGACCTGTCTTGGTGTTGTCTCGAATGCTTAGGTGGTGCGATCCCTTGCACGCCTCATTCCATCCGTCGTGGTCTTCATCTTCTTGGCGTGGCGATCGCACCTACACCTCGACCCCATCAGAATGCTCATCGTCATCCAGTCCATCCCGACAATACCAGTCGTCACCACCGTCATCTTGCTGCTCGCCTTCGTGCTCGTGGGAACGATGTACCTGTCAAATTATATATGCATGTTTAGGATATCTAGGTGTGATAATAACGAGGAATGAATTGACTAGGAAACATGTGGGTACAAGTAGGAAACCTAGAAGAGTTGTACCCTATAGTGTCTACCCCACTACAGCCTAGATAAACTATAGCATATAAGTCTGACACACCCCATAGGAAAAGTGGGGGAGAACAAGAGGTCACAAGACCAGTCAAGCAAAGCACAGCGAGCTCAGGGTGGATCACAACGTCACCACATATTCCAAGCACAAGTTCAAGGCCACACGGCCAGTTCACATGCAGGATCATATATGAAGGTAAACAAGCAAGTGCAGGTATAGATAGATCACAATACAAGCAAGGTCAAGAAGTGAGCAAGTGAGGCCAAGAAGGCACAAGACCTAGCATCGTACAAAAGCGCTGATGATCACAAGGCTGAAGTGCCTTGGTAAAGATATCAGTAGTGTTGGCCTGAGAGGCCACGTACGCAAGTCGCAGCTGACCACGCTACTGCAGCTCACAAGCAAGGAAGTAGCGAAGAGCAATGTGCTTCGTTCTGTGCTCCAGTCTGTGCTCCCAACACAAGGCCAGCATGGCCTTGTTTTCTACGTACAGAACTAGAGGAGAACGAGGCGCCTCTCCAAGGTCGGTCAGCACGTAGGTGAGCCAGCGTAAATCCTGTGCAGCCATGGCCCCTGCGTAGATCTCAGCCTCACAGCTGGAGCCGAGAACAGAAGACGAGCGGGTAGACCGCCATGAAACAGATCCGAAACCAAGACTAAAGGTGTAACCCTATGACGACCGCTGCGTAGCCAAGTCGTCAGCCCAAGAAGCGTCTGCGTGACCAGTCAGGACCACTGAACTCCGCCCTCCAAGCACGAGCCCCATGCCCGACGTACTGCACAAGAAGCGCAACACCCTCTTCGCAGCAGCCATGTGCTCTGGTCGGTGTCTCCCAGGAGCAACATAGCATGCTAAGATGCTAAGAGGGTATGCTAGGTCAGGACGAGTGCAGGTCATCAGGTACATGAGGCAGCCAACAAGCTCTGGGTACGGGCCACTCGGCTCTACGGACTCATCCGAAGGCAAAGCTGAGAGCGAGTGGCGAGTAGACAGAGGAGTGGCCTGAGGCGAGGAGTACGTGAAGTCGAAGCGCTGAAGGACCTGCTGCACCATGCGTGACTGAGTTAGGGTAATGGTGCGCCGTGCTCTGTCCCGGGTGATCTGCAAGCCAAGATAGCTGCGCAGTTCACCCAGGTCTGTGCACTTGTGTCTCTTCTGCAGCTCGGACTTCACGTGGGCGAGTCCAGCAGTGTCAGCAGTAGAAAAGACCAAGTCATCGACGTACACGAGGATGTAGAACGGCGGCAGCGAGGTGTCGGTGCGTAGAGACAGCGACGGGTCAGCAGTAGAAGGAGCAAACCCAAGAGCCACTAGCGTAGTCCTCAGTGTGTCGTGCCACTCGCGGGGAGCCTGGCGGAGACCGTAGACTGGCCGCCGGAGGCTCCACTGGGTACCAGGAGGAAACGACCCAGTGAAGCCAGGAGGGCGGCGCAGCCAGATCTCCTCGTGCAGGCTGCCCTGTAGGAAAGCAGTGCTGAAGCCAAGAGACTGAAGCTCGTAGTCGCGCTGAGCGGCTATGTGCAGCAGCACCCGAAGAGTGGTCATCTTTGGGGTGAGGGAGAAGGTCTGATAGTAGTCAACTCCCTGCCGCTGACTGAAGCCTCGAGCCCCGTAACGTGCCTTGAAGACACGCGGAGAACCCGGCAGCCGCTTCACCCTGAAAATCCACATGCCACTGACCATGTTCGCCCCAGGTGGGGGAACCTCGTCAACGAAGGTGCCTGTGGACTTCCAGGAAGCCATGTCTGCGTCCATGGCTGACTGCCACTGAGAGGAGTAGGGACCCTCTATCGCCTCTGCGTAATAGCGCGGAGTCGGGATGGCTGGTGCGTCCGGGTCTCCCTCAGGAGCAATCACCATGGAAAGTCCGAGCCGAAACTCTCTCTGAGCTGGAGACTGTGAAGAATGAGGAAAAAGAATGAACTAGCAAAAGGTTGGGTACAAGTAGGAAACCCTAGGAAACTGTACCACATATTGTCTACCCCACTATAGCCT